AATTAGCCTTTCTAGATCTTACAACTAATCTCTTAGACTTAGTTTTCAATCACTTTTCCCCAAAAATTTCATGTGACTAATTATTGACACACTCTATAGCACAGGCTTTTTAGGCCAGTGCCCAATCAGTGCCCAGCTTTGGCACAAGGGAATGCTTTGCTGAGAAATGTTTTTTGGAGCCAAAATGGGAAAATAAGGCTTACATGGCAGAAGAGGGGACTCCACTAGTTTGACTAAAAGCCAGTTCAGGCCTCTTCCAACGACTGCAAGCAAACAGCTGAAGAGGTTGGTAATTTTGGCACATCTTGGGCTTATTAATGTATCTGTGGAGTCAGTAAAACAATGCAAAGCAATGTATTTTTCAGTGCACCGTGATAGGCAAGATCAATACAAGAAACATTATGCCATGTAAGGTGTGATCATCTAAACACTCTTGTGGTACCTATAGAAACAACCTTCTACTGATTCTGCATAAAATTCACTGATCCAGGGAGCTTTCTGTCCCTTGGTTAATGTCAGAATATAAAAAAGGGGATCAGATGTCAGCTATTTATTAATCTGAAATGCTGGAACTTGAGCTGAACTTCAGGAGAACATTTCCTGGGGCCAAGGACAGCTCACAAAAGCATCAGCCCTAAGGGAGTGTTCATAAAGCGCAGATTTGCAGTTGCTTATGCCAGACAATGGACTCTGGTGAAACAACCTCACTCTTCTCTTCTGCAGCTGGGCACTACTGAGCCCACACCAGTACCAGCTACACACCAGTAGCTGAACAGTTCTGTAGAGAGCCAGCAGAAGCTTCTGTCCTTGCCTGACCTACCTGGCCAAAAGTTGGTCTGGGAAATTTCTTTATGCTTCAGACACATTATGGATAGTAATATCAGTATGTCGTTGGAGGAGCTAATAGATCTTACACATCATATGTATATAATGTATGTCTTCTATATAGTTGCATGTGTATTATCATAAGGCATATATTACAATATATTACATATATTGTAATATATAACATTTTTATCTTAATAGGCTGTATCTTGTGATATGAATAAAAAAAGTAGAAGCATTTCATTTATGAACAAAATTTTCTCTTTTTTCAATTTTCTCTTTTTTTTTTTTTTTTTTTTTTGTAAAAATTGTGTTGCAATGGCAAACATGGGGGGACAATATTACAAGACTAACAGTGTTAGAATTTGAAAAGTGTGCTTTATGTTGATAGTATAAACCAATATACATCAGGAAACTAATTTTTCAGGAAACTAATTTTCTTCTGTGAAGGCTAATATAATAAATCATATAAAATTCACTTTGCCTTGAAATTCTAGCGATGCTGTGAATGGTTTTAAAGAAAAGATTTGGCTGCAAGAAATGTCTGCGGTGAAGGTAAAATTTTTAAGGAACAAAGGTTTTTCCTCATGCTGGAGGCACAACTGCAGTGCAAAGTCGTGGTCAAGAACGGTTCATCATTCTTTACAGATTTCCTTTGTAATATTGCCAAAGCCAGCTTCAAAGATTTCATAGAAATTATGGTCGGAAGGGACTTTCAGATCATTCAGTCAAACTTCCTGGTACACCACTAGTCAGGAAGCACTAACTAAATTCCTCATAACCACCTAAGGAACTTGAATGCAACATTTCAGAATTTCAGAAGTCCAGAAGACTGGAAATATTCAATATTAGAATAATTTAAATCTTAGAGCAACTACAGACAGATGCTTTTAGGCCTAAGGAATTTTAAATGAAATATCATTAGTGAAGGAGTGGAATTGTGGTTCAATAAAAGATTAAGAACAAAAATAAGACTACTAAAATGTATTATGCTCCCATGGAAATTTGGCCTGATCAGATGAAGTTATTTCTTTTTCCTCTCTTCGTAAAATTACTTCTACTTACAAAAGAAGTCTTTGGCTTCTCCAAGATATTAGATTTAGAGTCACATGATATTAGAACAGAAAAGCACTGCTATGTTGGCTAAAACAGAATTGCAAATATGTCTGAAGTGCAACTGATAATGAGGAAATATCAAAGTTCCCATTGAGATTCCAGCAGGACCAGCTCTTGGTACAATATTATTTGGTATTTCCATGAAAAGTCTGAATAGTGTCCTTGCTGAATCTGCCGGTATTTAGAGATCTGTGAGGCAAAAAATACCGAAAAAGAGAAATTACTTTTGCGTGGTGATGTGGATCATTTGATTAAATGGTCATGATCTGGGTGCATTTTCATACGTCTAAATGGCAGGTATAAAATGGGAGACTGAGGAATACAGTCTCTTCTTAGAGGATGATAGGTTTTATCCTACAAAGCAGCAGCTCAAAGGAGGATTCTGTCATTGTGTATGATTGCCTCAACAGGCAGCCTGAGGGCAAGCTGTGGCAAAAAAAGCTAGTGCAAACCTTGAGTTTGCAAGAAAAGTATCAGGGAGAAATATGAAATCCTTCTGCATCCTGTGGGCAGGCCCCTGGTGAGGTGTTAATCTTTAGTTCCACTGCCAAGTGAGAGACAGGCTTTCAATCCTAGTGGTCCTAAATCCAGCTGACTGGGCTGCACACTCATGTTGGCTGGAGAAAGGATGCTGTAGCTTGCTTCAGAGCATCTTTCCAAAAATAGCTGATGCCAAGCCCAGGCTGTAGAGCAGGATTGCCCCTAGGGTTGGTCTAACAAACTGTGGCAGCCACAGGTGGGGTGTGGCACACCTACCTGTGCTGCTCAGGAGCACTGTGCACCTCAACACTTCTCCCCACGCAGACTGAGAAAGGCCTTTGCTATTTGATCATTTTCATTCACCCTACAGTGAACAGTAGCAATAAATTACAAATGTGGAATGGATTTTGCTGACAGGGATTTTTTAGTTACATTAAATTCCAGTTATTTTCCAAAAAAGGAACTTGTGGCTGACCTCGTGTTTATTCTCAGCACAGATATTCATGTGCTAATTTTCTTTGTGGGTTTTAATTTTTTTTTTTTTTTAACTTAATAGGAATAAGAACTACTATACCTGCTAGGAATTAAAAGTAATATCATAACAAATAGGCATCTGCTGGAAGAAAAGAATTGTAAATCATTAGGGACATGTGCAATCCAGGCCTCTTTCCTCTCAAGGCCTCATTGGAGCAACATGTAGAAAGAAACAGCCAATATTTTAGAAGCAACAGGAAAAAAAATCTGTACATAATTTGATTTTTTTTCTGTAACAGCATCTTTACTTGCATGTGGCCAGATTATTAATCAAAAAACTGGCAATATATAGCTATAAAACTGGCTTTTCAAAGATTTATCACTTTGTCATGCACACAAAGAGATGCACATTTTACATGTTGGAAAAATGCCCTCAGCAGCAAATAACGTTTATACAAACTCTGAAAAGCCAGAATTCCATATCTTGTGCTAATGATGTTTAGTATCTAACAGAAAGCCTGAGAAGGAACTTTAACATGTATTAATAATACTATGCATTTTAGGTAGATATTGAGCACCCAGCTCCAGTGTGATGAATGTACACATAAACTTCAAAATTAGTCTTAAAAGCATATAAACCACTTCAGTTGTTAAGATTTTCTAGAACCAGCGTGTGTGGGTAATATCACTAAAAGCAGGTATGTTGGATAAAAATGAATGATGTCCCTTTTCCAGTATAAACCCAGGAGTTCATCTTCCAGTGTTGTTTATAAATAGAAGAGAGTCAATTTGCTTAGGATCTGCAGGACGTTTGGGTACTCCATTTAGATAATGACAACATTTTTAACACAGCTATCACTCATTAGGTCAAGAGGTTGTGATTAATCAAGAAGTGTTTTGGTTTTGTCTGATAGACATCTAGTCTCTTTAGTTTACAGTTGAATGAAGATGGCTTCAACAGTTTACAGAATAAGCTGCAATGATACATTAGACTGAAATTGAGATGGAAAAGAGATGTGTGATCTATTTTAACCATTCCATTTGCATTACAATGTGCTGTGTGTGAATTCATCTAGGCATTGCTAGAGTAAATTAAAATCTGCTGGGAATGTGTTGAATGTATTACACAACAGGAATGCACTGGCAGGTTACAGCTACAAGTCTGCTGAATGTTACTAGGTGGTATTGTCGGTGTTTGGAGTAAAAGAGGAGAGTCTTTTAATAACAATTGGCTGGTTAATGGCTGATCAGGACATGAGAAAACTTGAGACTGAATGAGTTTTGGCAATAAAAAGTCTCATTATTAAGTCTGTTTCCCTGGCATATTTGGAAAAGCCTCCAGAATGAGGCAGTACAGGTCTTGCTGCATAAACTGCAGGACAAGGATTCACACTTCTGGGTGATTAAAGGAAGAGAAAAAAATCTGCAAATTCTTGCTGTATGAAATGTCTCAAGATATTATAAAATGTCAAGGTCATGGTCTAAGATTATCTACCAGCATTTTCCTCTCACCAAGCTCTGATCCAGGTTTCTGGGGTATTGTAAAGGTCTTTGCTCTAGCCACACCTCTCAAGGAGCCAAGAGGAGTATGTCCCAGGGAAGCAGTCTGCTCTCAGTAGGAAATGAGAAGTATAATCAACTGCCCACACCATCTGTGAATACACACCTTGCACCCACAACGCCAAATCACATCTGCAATCTGCAGTCAGCACTTCTTAAAACCTTTGCAACACCTTTGTAAAAAGGTGTATATTGCCATAGCCCACATTACACGGAGGGTTTTTTTGTTGGTCTTTGAATAATCAAGTAAATCAAGTGCTAATTCAGTGTAAAGGTCATAAAAATAGTACATGGCCTGACAGTACTTTATTGCTTGCTTTTTCATAATATATTTATGTTGCTCACTAGAAAAGAAAGTGGGTGAAATCTCTGAAACCATTTTTCTTTTTTAACATATGCACTTTGGAGGATGAAGCCTGAGGAAGTACTGTCACCTTTGCGTTCCCTTTTTCCTTGATCACACATATGCATGCATGCTTATGAACTTCCTTTCAGATGATGTTAACAAGTTGAAGGCAAAGTAGCACCAGGTGAGCAAATAGAAATCCGGCAAAACTTTTTATTAAGACAAATCCCATAAATTTCACTCTTCCTCTTTCTCTCCAGATTATCTAATAATTCTGTGCTAAGCACTGTGTGCATGCTTTCTTTAATGCTACAACCAAGGAAAAATATGAATGCTTGCAAAATACACACACTGGAATTTGTGTGACATCCAATACTGTTATTGATTGGAGACATCTGAAAAATTACAGTAATGACATGTTGTTGTAATTAGCATTACAAATTTCCCTGGTTTAAATTAGAGAATATGCACTAGAAAATCCAGAAGCTGCATATGAACTGCTTTAGGATTCTAAGATGACTTAACAGCTATTGTCCACACTTGCCAAAGTCTAACATTGATTAAGAAAATCCAGTAGGCTCTGTGATCCACACTACCCACGACCCTCTCCAGATGGAAACACCTTCCTCAGGCAGGGAATTCCTCTATGTGATGCTCTTGTTGGCTCTCTCCCAGGGGACACACTTGTCCTGCTTTTGGCATGACTCAACTTTTTGTTGAGTTGACCTTTGCCCCCTTAAATGAAAGGGTTTCATGCCCTGGAAACTGGCTCTCTTAGCAACTTCCACTCAACTAGAACCTTATTCTTCCACAGCAACGCCAAAGAAACACAGTAAAATACCTGCTTGAGTTAGTGAAAAAATAATATTCTTGGGGAAAAGGAAATGCTAGGCAGGTCTAAAACTCCTAAGCAGGCTACATCAAAGGATGCATTACACATAGCTGGAGGATTAATGTCCATTTATCTAATTAATGATTTTATAATTTAACATGATATTAAAGAGATTTTAGAGAGGACAATACTTTCCGATAAAACCACAAATTCTAATCATTAGGCAGCAGCCTCTCCTGATCCTATTATTAAAATATATATCGTAAGTAATCTCTGAAAAGTCAGTACTTTCAGAATATACCAGGAAAGCAAGATATTATTTTTTCCTGATTTTCAAAAGAAACCTATGGAGAAAGAAAAAAAACCAATCTATCAAGAGCTGCAATGTTTCCTGAACTAAAGTAAAGGGAAAAAAATAAAACAAATAAGTGAAATGCTTTAAACAATTAAAGGGAAGGATTTGCACAGGAAAGAACTTCAGTATGAAAAGTGAATAAAAGGAAAACAGGCTAAGAAGACCAAACCAACCGAGGCAGCCTATTCAGTCTTGATTTAAAGTTTTTCTAATGTTTGATTAAGTCTGGTTCTTGATCCTGCAAGATCAATGGTTTCATCACCTACCTAATGGTCTCATCACCTACCATCTAATAGTGACACCAAGATTTTAGAAAAGTGGTCAGTTCCCTGTTGAAGTTAAGACAATGACTGCAAAATACCAAGGAAGAAATAAAAGTTTAAAAGCAGAAACAGAAAATTTGAAAGTCCTTACATTTCCATGTTGGCTGTAAAGACAGGCTCTCTCTCCTTGCACAATTGCCCTGGCAAACAGGTGTCTGATGCTGTAATTCACATTAAACAGCAGTCACCCATCAGGGCTCTAACAGGTTGTGGCAAACTCCCCTCTGCTTGTTACTGGTAGCAAGGAAAAAAATAAATTCCTATTTATTATAAAATATCTTGTAGTGTGGAAAAGATTCATAAGTCCTAGCAAAGCATTTGAGAAGATATCCTTAAAAATATGCAAGTGACTTATCCCTCCATGAGCTAATGACAATCCAACTTCAAACCTGACCCTTGGCCTCACTGCACAGCATATTTGGCTTCTGCTCCTGATCTGGTCTGACCATGTGCTTCTGACGAAGTCTTTTACTTCAGAGATGGCTTTGCAGCATTATAATCTAAATAATAATACAGGCTCCTCTTTGTAAAGGGGCTTGGAATTGAAGTCTGGTCCTTTGGTGGAGAAAAGGTATTGAACTGGAGCCTGAAGGCAGGCTCCTCTGCAGAAGTTAAAGCAAGACTGGAGTGGGGGAGCACCATTCCCATCCCTTGCAATGAGGGTGTTGGAGCAAGCTGGGTGTGGAGGCAGGGGACATTCACAACCCCACAGCGGTCTGCTTGAGTTGTGCTTCAAGGACAACAAGGTGTTTATTGCAGTGACTTAACATCATCAGTAGATGAAAATTAAAATATATATCATAAGGGAATATATTAAAATCCCTCTTTCGGTAGTTTGAGCCTTGGAAGTTGTGTCAGCAGCTCAGTTAATGAGATTTGAGTTATAACATTTCAGGGTTGTTTTTCTTGACATGCTTTTAGTGTCTAGGATGATACCAGAAAGCTGAAAATGTACCCTAGCTTACAAACATAGACTTGAAGTAAAACAACTTCAGCACCTCCAAAACTTTCTAAATGAAGCCTAAAAACCCTTTGCAAATATTAAGGAAACAACCTTTGTATCACCAACAATATGGTGGATATCTTATTCCTGTATATGAAAGGTGAAAACAAATTAGAAAGAGGCTGTCCTTCATCAATGTTGTTTCTGTTTGGCATTAGAGAAAAATTACTTTTCCCTCCCACACTCTTTTGTGCACTATGATACATTCAGCCCAAACCTCAAGCCTCAGAAAAGAGCCCTCAAGAAAGACTCACCCCTTGCTGACTCTAACTGCCCATGACACAGTGGGACAAGATTTGGTCCTGCCTGCACAGAGGACTGAGCCAAAATGATCCTTTACTCTCCACGTCTAGGTCTTAGGGGAAAGGCAAACAAAAAGAGCTACCAGTTACACCATTTCTTGCAGCAGCGTTCATTTATGCCTGTAAATCATTTCTGGGGAGCAAAGAGCTTGTGTTTGCACAGCCCTTGAGAGACATGGTGTCTGAAATCCTCTTATTTCTTTTTTCTCCATTCTTATTTATTTTTCTCCATTGTCATTCAGCTGCTCTAATTCAGTGCAAAATGTTGTTTGAAGAGGTTTTGGACATTGCTTTCCACAACAACCATTGCACAGCTGAGTTAGGACTTACTGCCTGTACAGCAGAAAAATAAACTGGGCTAAGGTTTCTTCAGTTCAACAGTAATGGAGTGGGATTTCTTTTAATTTAGTTAAATACTGTTGCTTGACAGAATGAAATATGATCTCTAAGGTAGGGATTAAACCTGGTGGACCGAGTGCAAACTATTTGGGTTTTTTAATTATTCTTCTGGTGAATTATCCTAATTAAATTTGTCAGACAATCATAGGATATACCACTTGTGTAGAAACTGATAATCACTGGCCATTCGTCTCCTGTCTAGTAGCTATTATATTCTCTAGATAAAAATCAGATGAACTGGAAAAGCAGCATTCAAAATATTGAAGTCGATGCACAATCACCTAATTAACTTTTTCTTAAGCACTTGGAGAAACATGAAGTAAGTGGAGAAATAGTGTATTTTACAGAGCTTTTGCCAAATGATGCTGTTGGTCACACCCAGTGTTGTACATGAACACATTTTGCTGGATGAAGAACCTGGCACAAGATATTGTTTGGAAAGGGAAGGGAAGACAAGGCAAGGCAAGGCAATGCAAAGAGCTTTCTAACTTTTTTTCAGTATGTGTTAACAGATAATTGGCCATCTACTGGACAGAATATTACTTCACCATCCTAATAACTTGGCTGCACATAAAAATCTTTTCATGCTGCAGCTTGGCTCTGAACCATTAACTTTTTTCTTAATAACAGCAATAAAATGAAAGTCAGTCCACAATTAATTCTCTTCATCAGACTCCAGTGACCTAAAATACGTAGCCTCCTTTGGAATTCTGTCAAACTCAGTGGTTTCTGATGGATATTATTTATGTCTCCATGTATGCAAACAGCCACTCATCAAGTTTTTGATAGATACTATTAGGAATTTATATTGTACATGTCTAAGCTTACATTTCAGACCTCTGTGGTCATATTGAAGAAAAGGATTTTTGACTTTATAAACCATCATTTGCAATTTCATACACCAGCTTTAGTTAGCAAATAGCTTTCTCCGTTGAATTTAATTTTTTTCTGCATAATAGCCAAATGTCTGCTAGTGATAGAGATACCAGAAAGCAAGAAGTAAGATCAGATTAAAAATATTGAATGGCTTTATTCTAGTTAAGTTCCTTGATGGAATGATTTTGAAAAACAGACATTTTAAAACTTCGAGTAACACAAAAACTCCACATATATTTGAGAACTGCTTTTTTTTTTCCCCATGCAGGATGCCAAGAACCATGACCCTGCCCTCGTGACAGTCCCCTGTTGCTCCTCCTGAGCTTCCAAGCCATATTTGTGGCTCCCATGGAACATGTGCTGTCCCTCTCTCCAGCCTGTCTGCAGGAAGGCAATGAGACAGGGCATAACAGAGCTGCTGCTGCTGCTGCAGCTATCTGGGAAGACCAACTGGAGTCAGAAAATTTCTCTGAGCTCCACTAGGAGACCAAAGAAGTGCCTGGAGAGACACTCCAGAGGCACTGCAGAGTAAGGGAGGTGTAAGTGTAGCTCTCCATGCATGATGTGGCAGTTCTCTGTGCATGCTTTCCCAGGGACCTGTGTTGTGGTTTAAACCCAGAGAGCAGCTAAGCCCCACACAGCCACTCGCACCCCCATAGCAAGGGAGAGGAGAGAACTGAAAGACTAAATCTGAGAAAACTCATGGGTTGAGAGAAAGATGCTTGAATAGGTAAAGCAAAATAAATGCATGCAAGCAAAGCAAAACAAGGAATTCATTCACCACTTCCCACTGGCAGGGAGGTGTGCAGCTCTCTTGAGGAGAGTAGGGCTCTATCTTGTGTGATGGCCACTTGGAAAGACAAGTGGCATCACTCTGAATGTTCCCTCTCTTCCCTCTCCTTCCTCCAGCTTTATATGCTATATATGGTATGCAATATCCCTTTTATCAGTTGGGGTCAGCTGTCCTGGTGTCCCCTCCCAGCTTCTCGTGTCACTCCAGCCTCCTTTCTGGTGGGGTGTTATGAGGAGCAGCAATAGCCTTGGTTCTGTGTAAACTCTGCTCAGCAGTAACCAAAACATCTCTCTTGGATGGTTGGTAACAACACTGTTTCCAGCACAAATCCAAAACATGGTCCCATACCTGCTACTATGAAGAAAATTAACTCTATCCCAGCCAAAACCAGCTCTACCTGCCTTTCACCATAGTCATTCAACCACACCAGAGAATATGGCTCCAAATGTTTATCAACAGCTGCAAACTGATGAACCATTTTAGACACGGATGTCCTGAGCAGTACAGGTTTGCATGCTCACTCAAGGATTTAAACCTTTTGTCACCCATTTATTCACAGAACAATTACTGGGGGACTGTGGAAGGGAGCAATCTTGAATTCTGGTTTCTACTCCCCACAACCATGATGTGGGGAGTGACATGTGTTCGTCAGTGAAATGCATCTCAGCCATGGCGTGGGGCTGGGAGTGGGATGCCTCCCTGGTGTCCAGGGCCAGCCTTGGGCTCCCTGCTCCCAGAGTTTCTTACTGCTGCCAGCTCCGGCTGGGGCAATGCAGGTGTTACATTTTAAAACTTCCAGTAACACAAAAACTGCAGATATATTGGTGTGGTGGGGCTGCCCATGGCCTGAGCCCGATGCTCCTGTGTGGCAGGAGTCCTCGCCTCCCTCGTGCTGTCACTGCTGTGCCTGTGGGGCCCGTCCTGCACTCCCGGCCAAGGCCTCCCAGGGCAGGGCTCTGCAGGCTCCCAGGGTGGGCAGTGAGGCACAAAGCTCACGACTTTCTCTGCTCTGGCAGCAAGACACCTTGTGGCTCACATCAGGACAGCCCTGAGCACAGGGAGAAGGCAAACTGCATCCCCCCAGCTGATTTAGGTCCAATGCAAAGGTACATGCCCGGTGCCTGGAGCCTTAAGAAAGTCGGGGGGGGTGTTTTTATTGCATTTCTCCCTGCAGACACTCCATGTCAGCCCACCTTCTCCTCTTCCTTAACTCTCCCTTGTTTTCAATTCCTTCCCAGTGACAAGGGACCAGCTCCTGGTGTGGTCAGAGCCATGGCAGTAAGGAGAACGACCTTCACGTTCCCTCTCTGTACAGCACAACTGCACTGGCTGCTCATGCTGTTAGATCATATTGCAAATTCATGTCTAATTTGACCCTGAGGTCTCCTCCAGCATTGCTGCTTTCTAGGATTCTCCCTCCCTTTGGATGTCTGTGTTTCAAATTACGTTTCCCTGGGTGTACTGTGTTACATTTTCCCATGAATGCTGTTGTTATTTTCCAGCTCTATATTTTAAATTACACTACTACATTTTAGTCACTACTACATTTATTACCTCTGTTTTCATTAATGTGCTCAGCTCCTCCTGACAGTGAGAACTGTGAAAATAGAATTGTAGTACTACTGTGACTTCTTTCTTTGCTGTTGCAATTGTCCAGCACCTTTTCTCTCCCTCTGTGCTTCATTGAAAGCATTGAAGACACCCAGGAAATATCCTCTGTATGACACAAGCTGTCAGATTGCACCTTTCCCAGCTTCCATTAGTACCTCTTCAGCACCTCTTTCCTTTATAGTCAGTTTTTAACCAATCCATCAGGCCCATTTAAAAATATGTGAAGAAAGAGACCTCAGAAACACCATCTGCCAATACTTCAATGAACCTTACACTGTGAAAAGTTCCTTATTTTCTTAGACTGAATCTATACTGATTTTTGGATATTTTGCAAAGGAGATCCCTTGTGTGATGAGTCATCTGGTTTCCACACATTCCCAGCTCAGAGGTGATGTCCTCTGAGGCCTGGATGGAGCCTGATGCAGCAATCAGTTGCAGAGACAACAACCAGCTGAACCTTACCAGGACTGGACACCAGTTTTAGTGAAGTTAAACTCTAAATTGCTGTTGGCTTAGTTGGCAGTTGCTTTTTCTGCAGCCTATTTGACATTAGGCTTTCTCTCAGTTTTCATTAGAGTTTTGATTTTATGTTTCAGTAGGAGTCTAAGTTAAGAAAACTTTCTTTCTTTAGAAAGAAAATATAGAAAACTGTATTTTCTTTGCTCTCAGAGACAATCCTGACATATTTGTAAGCCTTTAAGCTTTTTTTCTGACTAATTAGAAGAGGATCTCAGGCTTCATCTCCCTTGTCTTCTAAAGGATCAAAACACTGTGCTACTGAAAGTCATGGGCATGGTAGAGTTACTCCTAATAAAGAAATTCAGAACAGATGTAACATTGTATTCTTAAAACAGAACTATTAAGGCAGCTTTACAGGACAAAACAATAGGGTGGGGAAACCTAAAGTAAATGTAATACATTGCAACAAGTTCTAGACAATTATGTGAGTGTTATACAAGTAGTACTAAAGGGAGGGATAAGAACTGAACTATGTTTTCTGCTGCATATCCTGCGTGTCCACAGCTCAAATCAACCATTCTAGAACCCCCAGTATTTAGTAGGGTTTTGAATTTGCTGTTTGTGATCAGTTCCAGATCAAACACATGTACTTAGGGCAAGTTTCCTCTGAGGTTTCCAGGGCTCTTGAGAGCTAAAATTGCAAAGAAAATAGATTCACATAATGCATTCATTTCGCTGTCTCAAGGTGTTTTCAAATTTTATCCTAATTCTGTACACAGAATTAGTTCACATGCTCCTTGCTATGCTTTCCGCCAAATTTTTCTATTGAAAATTCAGCATGACAGAAAGTAAATAAAAAGGAATTATTTTGGAAATAAAAGTTCAAACAAAGCCATTGATTTCTCAACACTATAGTTTGTGAACAATACCTCCATCATAAAAATATTTTAAAAAGCCATCCTCTCATCAGATGAGTCCCAAGAAGCTACCAGTTACCTCTTGCCCATGGTACTGCTCAGCCCAGTCCTGTTTTAAAGACAAAACCCTGTGGCTGGTGGCGGGGTGCTGCTGCACTCTTGCTGCTCTATTCTAGTTTTTCCAACACCCAGCAGAGAGAAAGTATTTCAGTGTTCAGGCTTTCCTCAGTGTTGAACATGACTGGGAAGACCAGCAGTACAATTGGAGCCTTGGTAGAAGTATTTATCAGTGTATAATCATCGGTAGTCAGGTCCAAGTCTTATAATACATGAAGGCATCAGAGGGCACTGCTTTTGCTTTTCCCAAGAGTCAAATGTTTTCTTACTAAAGCAAACATAAAAAAAATAAAAAAAGAAAGAAAAAAGAGAACAAATCCCATGATCCCATTCCCACAGGACAGATTTTATTCTCATTTGCTCTGAAACCAGGAACATCAATAAAGTGGCACCAGTCCAACTGTGCTTAGAGTCAAATTTCTAACCTTGTACTTTCAGGTAGCTCACAGCATTGAAATACTGCAGTGGTAACATCAGGTTAAATCCTGTCTCACTCAATTTTGCCAGAGTATTTTCCATCACCTTCAGTGGGGCCAGGATTCCACACAGAATATTTTGCTTTCTTTAAGGGAAGAATTTGCATTCACTCATCTTAAAGAAAGTCGATTCACTTGCTGGAAGTACTGCCTGTGCTGAGCACAGAAACACCAACAGGAAACAATTGGCTGCATAATTCCTCACTGTTGGTTTTTGAAGTAAAAGTGAGGAGAGTTTTTTCCGCTGACTTTACTTCTCATCTTTGCAGCAACGTAGACATGCTTTAAACATAATCTGTATGCAGTACAGGGTTAAAATATAAAATATCACAAACCTAAATCCCTACACCAAGAGACCAGGGACTTGGGGAGAGAAACTGCTAAACGCTTCTTGTCAGTCTAGAAGCTATTCTACAGCTAAACCTGCTCATTTCAGAGATTTATTTTGCTAGAAAGGATTTTAATCTTCACATTTCAGTTCCTCAGAGGAAGCAAAAATCTTCCAAGTGCAGAGTCTGCAGCAGCGGTGAATCAACTATTGTAATACACTGCCTCTTAAAATACTTCAGGGTAGTCAGGCATTAGGAAGGCTCCTATTTTGTGTGAACTGATCAAATACAGATGTTGCCAAAGATTTGACCTTATTGACCGTGACTTAACTAGAGATTGAATGGCAGACAGACGGTCAGTAGTAGGGTGAAACCATGTTTTGGCGGTATGGTGTAAATGTATATACAATTTACAGGATGTGAATGACACCAAGCAAACATCTGTTCTATTGATAAATACTTGTTTTACTTCCAAAACTTTTTATCCCAGGGAAACGGTATGTGTGTATATATGTATGTGTATAACACATTCTGCCCAATATTGTTAGCTGCCTCATGTGCATGCTGTGGTCCTGGAAAAATCCTTGAAATAGAAAAATATTAAAAATTGTACTAACTTTTCTTTCTTCCTGTAATATCAGATTTCATATAAAACTCATCAGCTGAGCTGAGTATTAGTCTTGATCAATGGCAGGAAACCAGGGGATCAAATGTTAATAAATCAGAAACAGATACCTCCACTTGAGCAGAGATATATCACCAACCTGAAAAACAGGGCAAATTATTTGACAAATTTTTTATGCATATACCTAGAGAAAAAAATTATTTTCATAAGACTCCTTGAAAACTGAAACAAAGGACAAACACGGAGAAAAAGTAGCCTAACAAGGTAGTGAACGTAGAACATGAAGTCAAAGAGTACTAAAAACACCTTTGTTTTCTTTTGGATTGACATAATAAAAAAAAAGTTTAAATTAAAAGGCTTTTGCTAATACAAAACCAATGTATTTAGATTTGCAAATTAGCTCTGTCCTACTGCTATGTGCTGCTCTGGTGAGAGTAGTGAAGTAACAGAGTAGGCCTGGTTTAGTGTTCTGTTACCTTTGCTCAAGAGCTAAATAGTAACATCACAATTACAACAGAAAATATACTCCAGGTCTGAAGTGCTCAGAGAGACACAGTGCTTCCAGTATCTTGGAAACTTGTAAAGGCACGAGGACCAGCTTTAACTTTAATATTTTTAAGGTGTGATACTTAACTCTGTTAGCTCAAAGTTCCTTATATTAATTTCAGACAAGCACCCTTGGAGTGTGGTCTTCTCTTCAAATTGAAACTATTTGCTCCTGTGCATAGCCTACTAAATTTAATTAGAAAATCCTGGTAGGCCAGCAGGACAAAATTTCCCTTCCTTCCTATTTTCCTCTTCCACAATATATCACCTAGAGTAATTAGGACCAGCGAGGGATCATCTTCACTGGATTAACCTTAACTAAATTGTATGCATTCAACATGTGCTCTTTTGATTAACTTGAGCCTGGACTGCTGCCTGTGGTACACCCACCTTGTAATTCTACACACTTAATTAATTTCAGATGAACGGTAAAAAGGATAAGCTGAATTCTCCAATTAATAAACTGATATTAGTTAATGTATTTTAGCTTAACTTTTAATTTTCTTCCTGTGTAGGGATAGGAAAAACAGAAAACAGGAGAGGGGTGGAATGGAACAAGTTTTGCCAACAAGCTTGTAAAGACTTTTCAGGGCCTGATCCTGCTGCAGTCTAAGCAGATAACTTTCCCCCTGACAAGGAGAGGAATTTTGGCAAAAGGATCAGTCCCTACATTTAAAGTATAAAATGCAATAGGCAGGAACAGGACTTTTTTTCTCTTTCAAAATGATAAATAAGCATTACTTAAAACCTCCTCACCTTAACTTGGTTTTCCATATGGTTTCACTCATGCGTGGGTTTTTCTCCTTATTAAAAAAAAATTCTATAATGTCACTGGCTATGGGCCCAATCCTCCAGGCCTTAGTCCCACAGGCTAAGGCTATTTTTCTCTTCTCTACTGTCATGGGAAGCTGCCTAACAGCCCGATCCTAGATGCATTTACCCAGATAAGTAGCTTTGCTTTTGAATCCAGCCCTTGTGAATTCAATAGTATTTATCAGAGGAATTAAATTACTCATGTAGAAAAATATTTACAGGAATAGATCCTAAAAATGCTACTGGAAACACAAAGAAACATCCAAAGAAAGATGCGAGGGAAAGACTTCTTCCTAGTTCTTTTTAAACTGGCTTTTGAAAGGAATTAATTCAGTTGCTAATTATTAAGCAGGGCTCTTAATCTTCTCTGAGCAAACTGAAGTGAATACTCAGTTTCTTGTTTTTCATGTGTAGCTCTGCTGAAATTTCTCTCCAACATTGGTATGTGTGGTTTCAGTAAAATTGATAGGATAAAAGTGAAATCTGCATGAAAGTATTTTGCTGAAATGAAGTTTGGCTGTTCAGTGTCTTACAGGATTGAATATTGAGTGAGAGTAAAATCTAGTTCACAGAAAACAAGAAATATACAGTCAGATATGGTTTTTAATTAATTCTGTCTCTGTAAAATCATTCACTGTTTTTCATCTCCAGAAATCAATATTCTAGCAAATGCTGCCAGAAAAATACAACAAATACTAGCTATATAATTCTATGGAAGATATTTCTAAGAGTAGATATCAACAAGTTGTTTGTGCATGATTTATATTGACTGCCAGTACTTGGTTTTTCTACTAATAAGAATAACGACAAAGCAATAAAATGGCCTAGAAAGACTTTTGTTTCCTAATTACTATTTGATTACTTCAACAAGTCATCTTCAACAAGTCATCTTTAACAAGTCATCAAGTATTTTAACATTTGTCTTCTATGAAGAGATAGTAAATTATTTGATAATCTTTCAAAAATCATGAGAAATTTATGAGGTAGGAGCATTATATAAAAATTTTCAAGCATCTAAATAGTTCATGAGCCCTTTTTTCTCTGCAAAAGGTGCTTTGACACCTTCATCACTTCAGTAATCTCCCAGTTCTTGTGGATGCTTTTGACAGCTTTACCTCCCACCTGTAAATATCTTTAAAAAATCAGACAAAACAGTTTGAATAGCAAAATCCCTTACAAAATTGGAGGAAGATAGAGAGTCTTAAAGTAAAGTTATATTTTGAGTAATTTTCAAACAAAGAAGCATATGAAATCCCTGCTAAATTTCTTTTGATAAAATTAATTTAAAGAAAAAAAAATTAAAGAAAAAAAAAAAGGCTTACATTTTCTTACATTTTAAGTGTCTCTTTACAAACACTTGTGAAGATTCAAAGATTGCTCATGATATAGAAAAAAGAAACTGAGAGGGCAGAAAAGAAAATGTTGCTTAATACTGACTTACCTTGTAGCCAGTCGGTGTGCGAGATCTTCTGGCTGAATACATTGTTTTTATTAGTGTCAGGTACTTGATTTAAAGTGAGACCCCGTCACCTTCCAGAGAGATTTTTTTCCTGGAGAATATGCACGTATCTATTTATCTATTGAGTGTGAGTGTGTATACACACACACCTAGCAGTAGGCCTGGTTAGTGTCGGCTTGACTGAGAAAGGATGTTAGTAATTACTATTTCTCTAAACACTACTTTAGCATGGTTTAGTGTATCAGCTGGCTTCTGCTGCCAGAGTACCCGTGCTGCCTACTGGAAGTGGTTGTAATGCCAAAAGCCACAGTAAGAGCTGTTTCCATCTCCAAGGGATCCAGTGGATTTGCTGTTGGTTCCTGAGAATGGGAATGTGCTTAGCTGTGTTTCAGGGTGTCCGTGGGGACAGTGGGGACCATCTTTTTAGTGTTGCATGAGAAAGTCCAGGACTGGTGTAGGACACAGGCTGGTTGCTGGACTGGTGTGTGCCAGAGGGGAGAGACTGGAATCTTACCCACACCGCTTATGCCCACTGAGCCAGAGCAGTTGGTCACAGAAGAGAACTTAAGCTTTGGCTGATGCTGAAAACAGCAGTTACAGCAGTTCTGTAGGACCTGGAACTTTCCCCACACCTGCACAAGGATGCTTTTGCAATGGACTTTCTCTGGTTCCCCGTTCCTTCCTTATGAATGTGTTTTCCAAGAGTCACCCTGAAACAACGAACACAAGCTGAGAGCTGATTTACGCAACTGATGCTGTAAACTCTTACACAGCTATTTTCCCTTTTGCAGGCAACATTTCTACTGTTTTACAAACACATCAAGTGAAGTTCTCTTGAATTGACACTAAGACAAAAAACAGCCTGTGTGCATTAGCAGTAGAATGAGTCCATATTAAGAAGAGCTTCTGGTATTACATTTTATGAGCCCAGTAAATCAAGAGCATTAAGGAAAAATAGGACATTGCTCTTCCATGTGGTGTCTGCAACACAGAAATTTTCTCGTGCAACACTAAATGAGAAAAAAATAAGTCAATTTTATTTTTTTTATTTTTTATTATTTTATAGTTAGATCACTTTTGAATCTCTCTTACCTCTGAAGAACTGTTTTTTCTCTTTGATAAAACAAGCCTAAGGTTTTTGTTTGGTTTTGAGTTGTGGGGTTTTTTCCTAATGTTTGTATGGTCTCTATAGTACCTTTCCCCTGAAAAGGTAAAGCTTGCCTGGTGAGGTGTTACACAACACTCTCCTTTCCCATGTTCTCTATGTGTGTTGATTTTCTAAAACAGCTCTTGAAATTCTCCTTTATGTGCTTGAGAGGCTTCCATAGTTTATCACCAGCTGGAATGTTATTAATGTTTAATTCTTACCTTGAAGTATTCGGACATCAAATAATTAATCTCTATTGTTCAGTTTTGACTACAGTATTATTAAACAGTCTATTAAGTAAAAAAGATACTTAGGGAATGTATAAAAAGGCATAGTATTATTTTGATGACAGCTTCCTGGTGGTCCTTCATATATAAAACCAGCTATTAGGAATATGTTTCAAACTGGCACCGTAACACATATTTAACAGTTGTTAAATTTAATTGTATAAATAGTTACTGACTGTATTTGGACAGTTTTAAAAAAGTGAACGTGTAATACATCCCCCCACGAAAAACATTCATGGAACATTCTCAACAACCACAGCTAGGAGATCACCTTCATTTTTTGTCAATAGTATCTACAGCAATTAGTTCTGATATTGAGCAAAATTAGAACTTGATCCTTCAAGCATTTATACAGATGAGTAGTCCCACAGGGACCAATCAATATCCTCTGTAGTCATGGAAATATTCACATGCAATCACAAGTATACAATTTTCAGGAATAGGGTGTTTTTTCTAACAGTGAGCCATTTTTAGGGTTCAGTCTTTCTTTCTCTAAATTTTGGTAGAACAAGCCATATTAGTCAGTGTAGGCTTTTGACCAAATGCAAGATAAATTCTGTAAACAGTAAACATATTTTTCCTTTTAGTGCAGTGACTGCTCTTAATATTAAACCCTCTACTTCACATGAATAACACAGGACAACTCAGGCATAAAGTGATTTTTCTGCAGCCTACATGGTTCTTTCAGTATTGACATGCACTCTGCATACTTTCAGATGTTTTATTAAAAGTGAAGGTAATGTCTTGGTTAGGTGCAGAGTATTCTTGCACTGGCAAGAGCCAGTGAAATTCAGTGCCTTTTGCAGCAGACATTTCTAAGATGGAATACAGTTGGTACTATTTATTGAATGACTTCCACCAAAGGTAGAAGAAAGATAAAGCTGCTGCTTTCAATTATGCAATCAAGAATGTAAAAAACCAAAGTTCTAGATCTCATATGGAAATAATTATATTTGATAAACTGTCTCAAACAACAGTAGTGTTTGTGCTAATCACATTTTAGAAGGCTGCTATTGTTGACTTTGCTGCAAAATGGAAAACAATTAATTATAAATTCTGCTGACCTGTCCCAAACCGTCCTGCTTAATCAACTCAGTTCTAAATCTTTGTTGGCTTAGACAGTAATCCAATATGCTAGTTCCACCAGATTCTCTGCCATCACTATTAAAGAAATCAATATTGAAGCTAAATAAGACTCCTACTAAGGACTCTGCAGTAATGACACCCTGATACCCACGCTGCTATCAAACATTGTGGCTTGCTTTAAATTCGCCTGTTGCATTCACCATTAAAAAGATCAAAGCTCCAGCTTTTGGGCCAAGGACTTTTAAGAGACTCCCTCTTCATAGATGTTTCAACTCTCTGTGGCAGGTAGGGGCTGAGAACTTCCAGCTCTAGATGCTATTGAGAACAGAGCAGTCTGAAAATATGTTTTGGTCACATCACCACATCAGCTGAGATGTCTCCCCTCCCTCCTTCCCCTAGGAGGCTGCTCTCCCTGGCTCTGCCCTCTTTCAGTGGGGATCCCCAACCCTGCCTACTTACCAAAAAGGGATCCCCATCCTGCCCACCTGCCCTTCCTGGCTCCATGCAGGTCAGCCTGTGCCGTACCAGCTCCAGAGCAGTAGGCACTGCCATCTCCCCTGCCCTGGCAGGGACAGGCAGCACACGTACAAGTACCATGAATAGTTAGTGTGGAGTGGGCTCCACAAATGTCACCAATAATCTCTAAATTAGGCAGCATAGAGAGCAACCTGACTACAAATCCAGCAAGGAACAAATGTGTTTAAATATCAGTAGGAAATCTGCTGTATAATTGCTCATGGAAATTGAGAGCTAGTGAATTAATCAGCATGAATCTACTGCTAAGCAAGAAGTAGGAATCAGATGATTGTCATAAATTACAAGAGGAGGTTTCTCTCTCTTGTTGCATCTCCTTGAATGACTGAGACAGCATGAAACCCTTTGTCTATTATCCTAATTAGATCCTCTCATCTTATAAAAGACACTACTTCTGAGAGAAAGCCATGTGTATAAAATAAAACCATGCATTTTTGTCCAGTACAGATAATCACCAAAATAGTTATACCTTTGTAAATTAATTAAAAGCATTCATGGAAGATTAAAGCTAGAAGATATTAATAGTTCAAGATACCAGAATATCACATATTTTCAGTTTGCTATTTTAGGGAAAAAAAAAAAAAAGTCTCAACACAATGATTTTAACTCATGTTCTTATTTTCCAGAAGCTTTGGTTTTGTTTTTTTCCATTACAATTTCCTATAAACAGATATATTATAAGTAACATACTTACACTTCAGGAATGTCTTCATTTTTATCCTGGCATTCACATCTGTCCCTGTTTAATGCTCTGCTGGTGGTCTGGCTCCATGGTATGCCCACTGCAATGTTCATCTTAAACAATATTTACATTGATTAGGGACCCCAGTGCACTAGAGGCACTTACTAGGAAATGAACACAATACCCTGGGATAACAGCGAATGTCTAACTGTTTTATTTTTGAACTTTTTTTTTTAATGTATTGTTTAAGTGTATAAACACTGTCAAAATGGAAAGGTGGTGGCAAAGAACACTGTGTGAATGCATAATATAAAAATCTGTGTGGAAAATGTGCAGTTGATAAACATGTAAAAATGGACACAGTGATGTATTTTTATTCACATTATTATAATATGTGCTGCAAATCAGAACATTTTCTTCTATGTGTATGCCCAGTAAAACTCCTCTTTCCTGACATCTTATAGGCTTAGTAACATAAAACTGGAGTAGGAAAGCATATTTGTAAAAATGCGCCAACAATCCTATGGCAGGATTCAATATTTTGCCTTACATCACATAACATGTTAGTGGCAAAACCAAAGTTGAAGCCTACATTTCATTCTGAATGTGAAGAGTGCCACAGGGATATAAAGGTCTTTTCAGATTGAGGGCCTTACCTGCTAAATTTGGAAATATTCCAGCTGAGTGGTACTATGGAACACCATGACAAAGCTCTTGTGAAAGCAGGCTGAACAAAATCAGAGGGTAGCGTGGGAAAATTGATTAGCAGGTTTAGTGTGGGACCCCAGACCTTCAATTGGTATTCATTAGGTCACTGAAGAATAGGGACCACAGTCCTAGTGAGGAGCAACTGCATAAACTAAGAGGATGCTTGAACAATTGCTATTTTTGGTCTCCCAAAAATCTAGAATTTTCATATCTGCCAAGAGAAAAATTTAAATGTTACTGTGCAGGAGCATTGTTTTGGTGTTCAGACACACTTGGAGCATAAGCAGAGTAACAATCTGCAAGGAGTCAGGGAGAAGGGATGTCAAATAAGGAAGTGTTTGAAGCTCTGAACTGGTCAGTAGGTTTTCTCTCCTCTAACTTCAGCTTCTTGTGTCTCCAAATGCATCCTGCAAGGAGAAAATAATTTGGACGAGAGAATGACAAGAATCATATATGCATATATGTCTTTTTCCTGTTTCAAGTTGCTGAGGGGCTTCATGTGTATACTGAACAGGCCAGTCCTGAGAGCAGCCACTTCTCTTGGACCTCCCAGGCAAGAACAGTGTGTGATTGAGAGCAAAGGCTGAAGCCACAAAGTCCAAATCCCTCACCCCAATCTGAGCTCAAGGAGAGCGTGTGTCCTCAGTGTGCCATGCCACAGATGTTAGAGAGCTCCAGAACTTTAAAATGGACATAGAATAAGGAGCTAATCCATCATTGTAGTCGGGGTATCATATAAGAGAGATGATGGTGATATCTAAAAAGCAAAGTCTATCTTCTTCTGGCTCAGAATAAGTTTCTGTCTTTCTATGAAAATTGCTGGAGCAGTTGATGTTCCACAGAATTTTATTCCCATTAAGAGAGACGGTCTCTTTCCAGCTTTCCCCTTGGTTCAGAAAGGGTTTGAGGTGACCAGAAAATTCTTAGCTGAGAACCACGATAGTAGGAAACAAACAGTGCTTTTTTAAAGACAGCTTACAAATTTGCTTTTATGCATACAAATTGTGTATGTGCTTATACCTGTTCAAATCTGTACAAAAGCTGATCCAGGTATCACTGTCTTAGCAAAGCTCTTGTGATGATTTATTAGCTGAAGAGTAACATGCATTCTGCTGCTCTTTACTAAAATGTTGTTGATGATGAGGAAGAGGGAGAGGGAGATAATCTATTTTCAGCAAAAGATGGAAAAGCACTCCCTGAAAAATATCCTTTTGAGTTAAATTATGCTCTTGTATTTTTTAATCTCTGAACCCTGTACATAGCACATGAATGATCCCAAAAACTTGGGGATTGGAAAGAGCAGTCATTAAATGCTGGGAACCAAAAGAAACTTTACAGGTACAAAATGCCACTTTACTGCAGCATATGAGTAAAAAACGATCTATCTGAAAAAGTGATTGATTCTGACATATGTGAAGTAGGTATCAGCAAATCAAAAGTGATCCCTCTAAATCTTGTTTTGCAACATATGTAAAATAATGCAAGCTATATATTTAAATGCAACCCAAATTAAATATGGTTGTGTTCAATCTGTCTGTGAAATGAGATCTACTGCTATATTTTTATGCAGCAAAAATTCCCTAAGACTGTTTTATGAACTCCTTCTAGTTTATTTTTTAATATTAAAAGATGGAAAAAGACCTCTTTCTGTTTCGCTGTTCTCTACCAGTGAGTCATGGGTCCCTTGCTACTCCGAGAGGAAAGTTGTTTTAGTAATTCTGGAAATAAACTTACTGCTGAGTCAGCATCATAACAGAAAATGACAAGTTTCAAATTAAGAAACACATTAGAAATAAGAAGTAATGGTGTACTCTCAGCCTCCCCCGTTTAGAATTGGCTGGTGCGTCAGGAGCTGATTTAGCAATTTCCATATGTATTGGACATGAAAAAGGTATATAGCCAGGACAAAAAGTCAGGTTCATTTAATGGGAAAGAGGATAAAAGAAACCGAGGTAAAATGTAGGGTAAAGATGGAAGTGGCCCTAAATATTTTACTGACCATGGCACTCCACCCTGAAATGCTTAAATGCATCCCTAAAGCAGATCAATATGAAGAGATTTTTGCTTTCGCTTTCTCTGCTAGGGGTTTTTAAAACAAGCAATTTTAATAGCATTTCTAAGTCAGTGTATACTTACAGATAAGCCACTGGGATTTTGCTACTCTGTTTATCTGGGATTCTAGATTTTACGGAGCAAATAATTGGAAACAAAACATTTCCCAGCAATCAGTCTACTCTTTCTGATTTGCTAAACATGTCCATATGTAGGTATTGCTTGTATATGGAAGATTGGTAGCAGTTTTAGAAGAGAAATATGCTGCAACTGCAAATTCAAGCAGTCATTTGGCAATCATATGGGGAAGCTTTGCAGGTTTTTTTGGTAAAGGGAACTCAGGAATTTAATGCTACTTATACCTGAGTATTGAACAACATCTTTAATGGCATAATTTTAGTCTGTTAGAGTAATACAATCAATTTTTCAAGAAGTACCCAATACCTTGTTGTGGAGGAGAAAACTGCTGCATCCTTCCCCTCTGCACCTTTGGACCTGATTCTGCCCTGTCAATTGTCCACAGATCACCTCTGCAGCCACCACTGCGATGGCACCAACACTTTGTGTTCTCTGAAATCTGAAAGAGCTTTTGCTAGTGACTTGTTTTGACAAGATTCAAAGGCTAGTGAAACAAATATGAATCCTAAGACTGATTTCAATTTAATCTGAATTTCAGTAATTAAAAAAATTAAAAAGCAGTCTCTGATAGGCAGAATTTCTTAAAATATTGCAGTTCTCTGATTAGAATTGTTGTTTCAGCACAGCGAAACGCTCCATATTTGCACGAAGTCCCTCCTGACTGTACAGAAGCTCTTGACTGGAATCTTTCACTGTCTTTATTTGTTTCTTTTCTGTCTTTAAATACCTCACTGAAGAGCAGACCTGAGGTTTACTGAAGTCTTCTTAAAATACATAAATATTTTCCACTAGTAATAACATGGTACTAAATATTGAAATTACTTTACATTTAAAGTGTCACTGTGACTTAAGCTACAAAATTTTTGCAGAAGAGGAGAATATATTAGTACTAAATAATGTGCTTGCTAAATAATTTTACACAAAAAGTATTTAAACTTATAGCTTAAAAAACTCAACATTAACATTCCCTGGGATTTTTTACTAGCAAGTGTCACTACGAAAGATAATGAAAAAAACTTACTGTAAAACCTCTGAATCCTTTTTGTTTTCTTTCCTTCTCTCTTCCTGTAGCATGAATATGTGCTGAAAAGTCAGAATGGTGAAGAAGAAAAATATTCCAAGACACTGTAAAAGTGCCTTTCCCTTTCTCTCAGCCCAAGGGAACACTGACTATTTCAATAATCGGTGCGAGCTCTTTGGTTATGATTTCTGTTTCCTTTCGCTGTTTCTCCCTCCCTCTCAATTTTTTTCCACCATCATATGAGTGTTTTCTCAATAAAGGAAGTAGAAGAGCTGCATGACAGCATTTATTGAAAGAAAATACAAAATGTGTATTAAAATGAGAGAGAGTTTAAAAAGAAAATATGAGGCGGGAATTGCAGTCTTAAGAGAAGGGTGGAAAGACGGCAAATCCTACAGGAGAACGAATTATAATACTGAGCTTTTGCTCAGCATGAAAAGCAGCTCCTATAGTGAACAAATTCCATGCGTTTTACCTTCATCCCAGCTTCACTGGGGATCAGTGCTCTGACTGGAATAACTGTGAATTATCGTCACTATAATGGAATCTGCAATTTACCAAAGGAGCAGGAAAAATGGACTTTTGCTAGAACTTTCATACTTTTCACTCAACCTTCACTAGTCAGACATATGGACTATGTTAGCACTTCGGGTTACTGGCCCAAAGTCAACACTGAAAATTAATTTCCCAGAAATACAGAAATTGCCATTTTTCACACCTTAGGTAAGGAAGGCCAAAACAAGTAAAGCTAAAAGTATTCAAATACTAGTTTCAAATCAGTTTATTTCCTCTGAAATAGCGGCTATACCAGGATGACAGAAATTTTTGTATACAAAGGCATGTGACCCATCGCAAACCTGGTTATAATTATGGATTTCAAAACAGTATCTAATAAGCTGAGATCCAGACAGCAGTGCTCAGAAGTGGAACATGTCCAGTATTCATTAAAGATGTCCAATCTAGAAGTCCAGGGTTTAAAGACAGTTTTCAGACACAATTTTCCCACTTGTCTCAGGAATAAGGTAGAATAGCAAAAACAGAGGTAATAAAACGTGGTCAACCTCAATGACTTGGCATGCATTCTTGGCAATAGCAAAATAGAGAGACCACAGCTTAGCTCTGAGAGTGAACTTGCAACACCCTGAATTTTGCATCCTTTTTTTTCCTGTGGCTGTTTTTGTTGGACCAAAAAAATAATCCATTTGCCCATATTTTCAAAGATGACACACCAAAACCTCATCTACCATAAAAATATTCTTAACTGCACCACTGTCTCTGGGAAATAGCACATTTTTCTCTGGGAATTATTTTGATTCACCAATTATCACAAAAAAACTGGAAAGATATATTGATATCCAGTAAAGATGGAAGAAGAATTATGGCATGGAAGGATAAAATCATAATCCTTTACTTGGCTTTTTTATTATGGGTTTTGGGCCCATATGAGAACACCTCTGGCTAGGTCACCCGCTGTCTCTGAACCTGTAAACTCTGGATGCAAAGTAAGGCTCTTGGAGGTAAAAGGTGAAGCCCATCAGTGAATAGACAGAACAGACTTGTAAAATTCCATATCTGCTATTGCCACAAAGGGGGAACATGTCCCAGTGCCGGAGTGGGAAATATCCGGATTAACTATCCAGCTTATGGTTGCCAAAATGAGAACCAAAAGTGCAGTGTGTGAGTACATCCATACATAATCATCCAGATGAGCTTTTACCTTTGGGTTTCATATTTGTAATAACTTGCCCAAATGTCAGTATAATTTACAGTAATAAAGCCATGTGCATTTGCTATTATATAGTCTTAAAAAAAAAAAAAAAAGCATCTTGGACACATGACAATGGTAAACATTACCTCCAAATGGTGCTTATTCGTAGGAAAAAACCCTCTGGTTTTAACAGACAGGCATTTTCTGATGAAAAGGTCTTTTGCAGATGTACCTCTCATTGAAAAATACCCAATTTGATGCCTGTGAAAAAACCAAGGCTGACTGTTTAGGAGACTGATGTCCCTCTATTACAAATGCATACTGCAAAAAGCACTAAGGAGATTGTGACTTTAAAAGAACAAGTTTCATTGTTTGGCTTCAGCACAGTGCGAGAGGGATGCAGAGGGTGAAATCTCTGGATCATATACCAAAATAAACATTTCAAATCTAATATACACACACAGAGAATTGTTAAAGTGTAACAATCCCTAACCTAATATAAATTTTGGTACAGCTTAATCTGTTAGAAAGGAAAAAAATAATCACCACGCTTATAATATGTAACCTCTTAAATTGATTAGAAATATTTCTCTGGACTGAGAAATTTCTGGCTTCTGAAGGTGCACAGGTAATCCGTATCATTCTGAACCATGCCCAGAACCAGGATTGTAGGTCAATGTATACCAGTCCTGGGACATGATGGTCTGACTCTTATGCTTGAAGACCAGAGGCCTTTTCCAGTCAAGCACAGCACAGGATTGAGAGCAAAGCCATGATGATGTGTAGGTGCTGAGAGAACCACTCAGCACCTTGAGAGGTCAGATTGCAATGCCCTGCAACCAGCACAGCAGGGTGCAACACAGTAAAAATTAGATTTGCTACCCCAAGGAAAATAAAAGGTTGTGACTCACTTTCACTGATGTTTAGACATGTCAGGGAACTAAAGCCATTTGGGTCCTCACTAAGCTATCATGGCAATATATTGAAATTTTCCCTCAAAAGCAGATCAGAATTTCAGCCATGTCTCTGGAGCAAAGCATGAAATTCGTTAAAGTAAATAGCTTCCTGTTTCCCTCTGTTTCACAACAGCTTCCTTCTTCTTGTGCTGGAGTCCTGGGGACCCAGGGACAACTGCGGCTGCCTGCCTCCCGCTGCGTGCCTGTCCAGCTCTGCCCTTGCGTGGCAAAGGTCCATGGGGATTTGCCAATTTGCTCGCTCTGACAAGATGAATATCTCAATTACAAATTCTCACCAAGCAGCTAGAAACCTTTGGGTTTTTTTGTTTCTTGGTGCGTGCTTGAAGGAATTTTTTGGAAAAAAGAGAGAGACAGAGAGACGTGAAGGCAGACCAATGCTTGCAGTTATCAGGCAGGGCTTCATTGCTGAAATAAGTCCCACTTTTAAAGTGCATAGCTTGTGTTTTAACAGCTAGTGAGGTTTTCCTCAAACTGAAAGAAAAACTCCTGGGTATCTTCCAGAAAATTTGTTTTTCTGTCCCTTACCCATGATCTCCTGAGCTTATTCTTGTCAGAGGTAACAGAAGCCTGCCTTTTCTATTCTTCCAACTCCTCTGGCATCTGTTCCTCTCCCCCACTACTGATATACAAGGCTGAACTAGTGCATGAGAAGGCAGGGTGTTTGCTTTCAAACAGGAAGAAAAAAGGACAGAGTCCATCTGGGGTACGAATTTAACCATGGGTTCCTTGTATGACTAAGTGTGACTATGTACCATCCTAATTTCCCCTTGAAAATCTGACACGGATGGAGGCTGTTGAATACATTCGTGCTTGAAGTGAATTTAAGCAACACTGTGTTAAAGGGCAAGGAGTGCTTCATTTCAGAGGGAGGTCAGACTCTCCTGCTATCCCGAGATGTCATAAGGAATGACTAAAAATAACTGCCAGGAGTGGATTCCTCATTTGCTGTGTACCAATTAAGCGGGACTCGGCATGGCTTAGGTCATGTATAGATGGTGCTAAATGTAAACGCAGCCAGGCTCTCGCATCCCCCCCTCCTGAGCAGGCTGAGGAGATGGGCAGACCCCTCCAGCTGTGCTGTGCATATGCCTCCCTTCACCCTTCCTGCTACAGATTGATGCTTCCAGTGAGCACTGGTACGGGGATGGATGGCATCCAGAATGACTCATAACAAAGAGCATATGGCAGGACTAGATGTAGCAATCTAACATCTGTTGCACTGCTTATTATTAACATTTCTCACTTCTCTTGGAGCTAGTAACCAAAACCAATAAATATCATCTTCACAAATCCTACCTGAGGAAATCCCATATCCTCTTGGTTTTTTCACCACTAATTGTGTTCAGTGCAAAAGATGAGTATTATTTTATTAGTAAGGCATTTTAAACAATCCAAAAGTCTCCCATTTAGAGCTTTTTGAACAAGCTACAATTAATAATTTGTATTTTAGTTTATTCATATCCTAAAGATTTAAATTACTCCTATTCCACATCCCAAGATCTGAAACTTTGTTGTTTCTGCACTAAGGTGAAGGGGATGAGTTAAAAATAAATAGGATGAAAAAGCATCTTCCAAAAAAGTAAATAGAGCATCAGCTCATTGTGTAGTCTCCCTTACAGTATGGTATCAACAGCTGCCCCTAACAGAGGAACCATTCCTGAAGGAAGTAAAAAGAACTCCTCTATTTAATTTTTTTTCTCAGCTCTTCTTTTTTTCAGAGACAAATGGGACTGCAAGCGCTGACATGTAAAAATGGAAAATCAGCTGATGAAGCATCGTGTCCATTTTGCGAAAGATTCACTGAGTGATGACGTGAAATATAATGGGCAGCCCCTTGCAAACAGAGATTAAACCATGTATCAAAATTAACACTGACCATAAAAAGGAATCCAAAGAACAGTGTTGTGACTGGATGATCTAAGTTACTCCCTTTCAGCCGAGAGATGGAAATAGTTGCCAACAAAAATGTTAGGATTTGACAAGACTTGGCAAATTGCTGGGATATAAAATCATGTTTTGTGAGTTATAAGGCCTTCCAGGAGATGTGACAAATCCTGAAAAAGGGTGGAAAAGCATGCACAGCCCACAGAAACTTACTCCCTTTTCATGGACCTGCCAAAAGAAAGGAAATATGAAAAAAAAAGTGCACAAGAGACTTGCCAGTGACAGACTTACCATTTCATTTAATAAGCACACTTCATAAAATGTTGAAAAAAATTATTGTAATAAAGACTATGCATATTATTATAAACAATGACTAGCTTAGAAAGCAAAAGTGTTAAATTTTTGCCCTGGAGACAGAGAAACTATTGATATTGGGATCAAATGTCCTAACCCAAAGAGTCACACCTAAAAAAGAATCCCATTAGTGGTTCTCTCTATTATGTGTAATTTTCCTCCCTCCCTATCCTTTAAAAACTGATCATTGTTGATATTCCAAATGCTAATGGTAACAGTAGGAGCCATTGACCACCATTGTTCCGACTCTTCCCAGAGCGAATGAAAGCCAGAGGTGTGCAGAGCAGACCTGGAGGAGGAGCAAGAAAATCACTCTCAGGTGTGAGAGGTATTGGATGCTGTCCTTCATCTAATCAGTTGTTGTTCATAACAGGCAGGAGTGGTAAAGTGGGAATCAATTTTGTGCAGAGCACAAGTGTGTCCAAGGAGAGAAAGCTGCCCTTCGTGGAGCCTGAGAGCCACCTGAAGATCTAAAACACAACAAACAGATAGTAACTCTCCCTGACTCCTTGTGAGGGTTACACACTCGTGGTT